TTAAGAAACTGATCTCTACGTTTTGCTGTATAGCTGAAAAAATCTAGCTGAGATAAACTCCGTCACGAAACGTCCCAAAGTAAGAGAAAAGACGATTATTCCCTAACATTTTAGCAGTTTTATGAAAGAATAATAACATCTAAATCGAAATTACCTCAAGAGTGTTGTGAGGCGACTATATAGACAATGGATGTTTCTAAATACAAAACAATTACTTTAAGACAACATTAGTTAAACAAAGTTCAACTGTGAAAGGTACCTTAAGACCAAGGAGAACATTCCTAGCTATGTGGGATCAGGAGCTCTGTCCATAAGGGTCACTCATTAAGTTTTCCCGGGTCAGAATGACCTTGAAAACAAACGCAGACAAACTCACATCGTTAAACAGCACACTGTTAATGTACACACAAACACGAAGAGAAGTATTGCAATTAAATTATATATTTCCAAACTAAGTTCACTTTTAAGAGATTGAAAAAATTTGGGCATTGAGTGTATGATATTCATTATAATGAAGGCTTTTGTATATCCCAATGAATGAAAAACAAAACGATATTGTTTTTTCAGGTGTTGGTTTGTATGGATTTGATTGGTCACAGAATTTCGTCATAAGTTGAAATTAGTTAGAGAACCATTGGAAAACCTGGGAGAACTGGACAGTTGTCTCGTCAGCCTAGTTTGGGACTCTTCAACAGTACACACCCACCGGGATTCGAACCCAGGGCCAGCGAGGTCGTATACTATTAAGCAACTGGAACCCGATTCAGTGGCCATCCCACGAATTCCAACTTCTGCCAATTCACAACATAGCGCGACACCTAGCCAATGTCTTCGGCGAGTATTTGTTCTGACACCCTACTTGATGCATACTAATATTATTTTTACTGATGTTTCGCTATTTATTTCTAATAGTATTTCTAATAGCATTATTAAATCGGAATTTACAAAATCTCAGCATATATATAACAAAGAGCTAAGGGGTGAGAAAATAGACTTATGTCAAATTAAAAGGATATATTGAAAGTGAAAAGTAGTAATGAAGATCACTAAATCAAATAACAAAGGTAACGGTATATCTGTCATGATGTCAAAATAAAGTTTACTAATTTGATCATCGTTCGTCTGTCTGGAGTTGATTTTGGTGTCAAGTTGATTAATTGATGAAGATAACAAAATCAAGTGTAGACTGTTGGATTTGATCAGTGTAAAATATTATAAAAGCAGTGTGTGTTTACATAGTGAACTTGCTTATCACATTCGTGTTGATTTTGTCACTTCGTCGGGAGGGGAGGGAGGGGTTGTAACCATATCAGATTCTGTTTTAGTCCATCATTCCTATTCAGACAATTTGGATTCCACTTGATATGAAGTGCTTCTGATATTAGACGTTCTTTGTGAAGTAATACAATTAAAGATCAGTCAAGGACAAAGGCAAATAATAAAGGCGAAAATCAGCATGTTTACTACTTTTACTTTACTTCGGCTATCTCCTACGGGAGGATGAGCCGGCTTCATGAACGTCTCGAATCATCGCTGCCCAGGCGCGGCAATTTGTAAGAGAGTTCATGAAGTTTCATGGGAGTCCACTATCCATTGGCAGACGGTGACCGGAGTTCGGTTCATACGCCTTTTTGAATGGGGCCAGACATCCAGGACATCCAACAAGACCTTTGTCCATACGTCTGCCGGTGAGCTCCAGTGAGCTTCATACGCCAGTCGTTGGAGGTTTGGAATCAGGGTTTAGCCATCTCCCCTAGACTGTCATCCAATGGACAGTCAACCCGGTGGAGAGCGCCGGGCATCCGCTTTCGCCCTCTCACTTTGATGAGAAACACCTCCGCCACGTGAAGGCAGTGAGTAGGACTTCCTCAGGAGAAGCTATGTAAGACGCCCGTTCATATGGGAGCATTTCAAGAGGTGTGCGGAGGAGGGGTGGCCAACCCGCAGCGCAAGGCACCCACCTCCGACCATCCTGAGGCATGTTGTATGCAAATGTCAAATTAATGATATACAGTCTAAGAAAAAGTGGTGAACTAATTGCAAAGTTAGCTGAAATGTTTAAGCAAGTATAAGCATTATAAATAGATCGTCCAAAAAGGATTCTTCAAGCAAATCTGTCCATTTACAGAAAGATCTTTGAGTTCATAATTCATCAAAAACACAGTATATTGTGCAAATTTAAAATTATTTACCTACGGGGAACTAAGACAAACTAGAAAAAAAAGTATTCAGTTTTTATTAAAAAAGAATTTTAAAATTGGTTTCTAGGAATGTGTACAAACTTGTTTTTAGAGAGAAAAAAAGGGAAAACAAAATTAGGTTACTCTGACAGTAACTTAACAAGTTGTTACATCTAATTGACTTAATTGACCTAAGTACAAGCCAACTTGTCAACAAAAGCAGATAGTATTTCTTGTATGAGATAGATTTTCTTTTATTATTATTTTTTTTTTCAAAATATAATGTCGTTTGTTATCAAACCTTAACCTAAATTTTAGAATTTTCCAGCATCAACTTTCAAAATATGCTCAGAATATCATATTGCATAGAAATAAATTTTGTGTCACTTCGCTTACAAAATCTATCTACAAAATTATTTTAAGAAGTAATATTGAAAAATGGAAAAACTTTTCTGGGGAATTTTGACTTTGGGAGGGGAAGTTATTGAAGATAAGCGAAGCTTAGAAAGAATAAATATCAGTATGAAAACTAATTTATATATTTCATTTTCAAAGATTTGTTTGTAGGGATTTTATTTGTATCCGCTTAGACCCCGGATTAAATCATTTAGAGAACAATTAAAAACCAGCACTGGAGTACTGGACAACTGTTTCGTCCTAGTTTGGGAACCATCGGCAGTGCACACCCACCGCTGTGGTTCGAACCCAGGACCTTCCGGTTACAAGGCAAGGTCGTACACCATTCAACCAATGGTTTCTAGCCAGAGTCCCAGAAATTCTAACTTCTACCAATTCGTGATTTTAGCGCGACCACCAATATAGTCAGGGAGAACTCCATTCTCACTCCTGACTTGATGAACCCCACTGGTTACGACATCTTACTAGAAATCCAAGAAACTTCGTTCTGTAACCAGTCACTAGAGAGCATCAGATTAATTTTCAAGAATTAGCTTATAAGGATTCTATTAAATGAATACTTGTTTGTTTATGCAGGCAGAAGCATTTGAGAGAGTTTTCCATATCTTCAGCAAAATGTTCACTGAATAAAGTCTTACTTCTGATGTTATTCGTAAATTACAGATGTAGTTGATTTATTTATTCGCAGCAACGTACATAATCGAAAAGTGAATAGTTTTCAATGATCACTTTAACAACCTTTGGTTCGGAACGACAATCTAACTTCATAATCTGGACCATGTACATGGTCGGCGAGCATGCCAACCGCTGTGCCACCGACGCAAAGAAATCAATCTCTAGATCACTGATATTACTAATATAGTAGTATTAAAGCTTTATTTCAGACAATATGTGAACATACATTTCAGAGATTTTCAGCGTATTTAGTTCCAAGATATATTCCCTTTTCATACAGAATTTACATGCAAAGCAATAATCTGAAGTACATCATTTGTCGTAGTGTTGCTGCATATGAGGAGAGAATCAGAGCCGTACATTTTTTTCTTCAGTTACTTCAAAAATTGCATGGCGTATAGTGCGCGCCACTTCATGTAGTGGTCATCTGATTTAAATGCACGATAAAAACAACTAGAGGTTCAGAAGAGTTTAAACATTTTGACTGATAGAGATTCTGGTAGCCTAGTGATTTAAGAAGGCCGCCTGTTTGGTGGAGGTGTAGATTTTCGATCTGAAAAGCTCACCATGTCAGTGTGAAGTGGATGCATACCTAAAGAATTGGTGAGGGAAACTCTGTATCAAGAGATGATAAGGCTAGAATTCATGGCTGATTGAATCCCAGATCAAGTGGCTCAATGGTCATAACCTGAAGATCCATGGCCTCTCAATCATACTGCTATCAAGTGACTGCTGTATCTAATGCCTAAGCAGTTTTGATGGCACTATCGTCTACTGACAGATTCAAACCCGCGTCATCGAGTGCTTCAGCAACTTACTGCGAGACATTTTAATGGTCGGCATTTCAGTTTTTGAGTCAATTAAATCATGGCATCTAAGCATCCTTAAAAATATTTTAGTCCAACAGGCTGTGCTGTTAAGACGCATCTTCTGAAAATCCTTTCAATTTTTTTAGTTTATATGTAGCAATTATTTCCAAACGATACATTGTTTATATTTATATGATGAGTTAATGTTTTTCTGAGAATATGATTATTACACTAAAAAACAGAATCAAGAGTGTAGCGGTATTGTAACATTTCCTATTTCCAAAAAAGGAAATGTTATTTTATCACAAAAAACAACAAGAGGTGTGCAGTCTAATTTATTGTAGCAATTACAAAGATGTGTAGACATTATTTATTAAATTATCATTCATTATTAAGAGCTGTCCATTCAAGAAATTTCTAATGTATTACTACAGAAGCACATCTGATGTCAGTTGAGCCCATTGTGAAACCGTAGAAGACAAAGACTTGCTAGCGGAATGTTTATTTGAAAATTGATATCTCTAAATATTCAAATTATGTCTGCCTTATCTTCAAAGCACAATTTGAACAGATCTGTGTGTTGTGGTACTTCTAGACATCATATTGTATTTCTCTGAGTTACTTTCGCATCGTCTATGTGTAACAACAGAAGACAAGGGCCAGGCAACAGATCGGTTTATTATGAAAATCAACACGTATTTATATATATTTCACATACATTATTACAGCTTATGCAAGTAGACAAGCGCAGTCATCTGATTGGTTGTTTATCAGAAGTTAGGCAGACAAACGCAGGCTTCTGATTGGTTGTTTCGGGATTCCTCGAAAAACAGAGTTCTCTATCTGCGAATCATATTTTGCCACGTTAACTTTGCTGTGATTGGTTGTTAAATCAGCCTTGTACATATTTTCTCACGGCCTGCTCTCACCACACTCGTCCCCCCGTCAAAGACTTGCGACTGAAGTTGGCTTGATCTTCTTGGTGCAGGCGTCATCGTTGGCTTGTCTCGCTGTATCCATTTCTGGAGCTCGCTGACGTTCACGCGTCTCTCATTGTTCGCTATTGCGACTGTGTCTGCGTAACCCCATCTCGACGTGACCATATGTGGTCCCACCCACTTTGGAAACTGTTTGCCTGACCCTGTCGAACATTCGTCGTTATTTCGGCTCACACTTTCATATGCTGCTTTCGCCCGACCTCCCAGCAGCGTTCCAAGTAGCAGCTCCGTCACTGACAGATCTTGAACGCCCCTCAACTGCGCAGAAGCCTTGAAGTCCTGCCCGAAGATCCATAAGTCTCCATCAAAAACTGCAGGACATTGGCTTTCCATTTGTCGGTAGGCAGCGACAGCAAATGTAACAACAGAAGACAAGGGCCAGGCAACAGATCGGTTTATTATGAAAATCAACACGTATTTATATATATTTCACATACATTATTACAGCTTATGCAAGTAGACAAGCGCAGTCATCTGATTGGTTGTTTATCAGAAGTTAGGCAGACAAACGCAGGCTTCTGATTGGTTGTTTCGGGATTCCTCGAAAAACAGAGTTCTCTATCTGCGAATCATATTTTGCCACGTTAACTTTGCTGTGATTGGTTGTTAAATCAGCCTTGTACATATTTTCTCACGGCCTGCTCTCACCACATATGTATCTCTACAAAGCTGTATCATTTGCCTTTTCTGACATCAAATCTACCTCCCTGCTATTTGACATTTCTATGCCGACGGATATTTGTTTATATATTACTGATAAATGTTGTCAGTAGCTCTCGCCACAGTTGAAATTCTCACTTATGAGGGATCTTATTAACTACCACTCATTCTTCATCCTTAAGATATCAGAGTTTCTCTAAGCTAAATGGTTTTAAAATTCACAATGAGGAAGTATATCTTATCGAAGCGAAAAGGGAATCAGTTGTTCCGAGAGCTAAGTTAACTTGATTCGATTTGGTTTATAAAAGCATTAATTAGTTAGTTTACATGTGCTGGTAATTAAAAATAGACGAGTGCTCAAGGATACATTCATCACTCTAATTTTAAGTGGATACCATCAATAAAATAACCGGCCTTTCTGTTATCGCTAAAGGTTCAAAATTATTAAAATTGGCATTTCCCGAGAATATTGCGATCTAGTAACAATTTACAAACTTAATACATGATGAGTATTCCCTTGCGTTCCAAATGGAACATACGGCTATAACAACACATCTCCGTTTTGTTCTTTTTCCTGACATCCTCTTCAGCAGAGTCCACGCTTGCCCATAATCTCTCATCTCTTCCATGTCACCCTAGGACGACCCATCCGTCATTTTTCATTGGAATTTCACTCTAGAGATGGTCTGTACTGCACGCGATGTCATTCGACGGCATTCTCAGCATATGCTCAATCCATCTCTATTTTCTCCTACATATTTGTTGAGCGATTGGCTCTTGTTTATTTTGTTGCCGAAGTTTCTTGTTACTGATACTTTCCGGCTATATGGTCGTCAATACGGAACCAGCGAAGTTGGCAGCTGTTGATGAAAGTCTGCAACCTGTTGGAAATCTTCTTCATTATAAAAGGCTAATTTACTCATTGTTTTTACTTTCTACGTTAACTTTTTAATCCCAATTCATCTAATCCACAGTCAGTAGTGTATTACTGTCATTTCAATAAGTGGAAACCCCATGCACACATGTTTATGCACATGTTCAAAAGCAGAATGCTCACCATCCGGTTTGAATTCTCAACTGACGAGCTCCTCGGCCTTGTTCAGGCGGTAATAATCTCAGTAAAGAGAGTAGCTTTGGCATGAAGCTGATAAACACGTGTCTCGAAAAGAAACTTCTAAATCTGAAGCTTGAAGTCTCATCTTACATTGGAGAAACAAAGGAATAAAAACAAAATAACATGTTGATTTACTTGCCTAGTATGACATAGAATATTAATTTTCTCATGGCTGTTTCCTGTAAAGAAAGGTCATTCATTCATTCAGTGTACCAGTCAAATTTATGCTTTACTGGACTACTTCATAGTGATATTTTAAAAAAAAGTTATTTTTTAGAACAGTTTAGAAAAACATTTTTTCACCTACATATATAATTTTATGCTTCTAAAGCGTATACTTTTATGCTCTCATGTAATGACTGCTTGCTTTAATTCCACTGCTGTTTCCAATGAAAGTGTCCAGTCTTCAATTATTAAATCCCTTCCACAAGTGAATAACCAACTATAAACAAGAATAGAAGAATAGAAGTAAATAGAAGAGGAAATACTCTTACTAGTCATGCATATACAGGTCAAAATTATTTCATTCCAGTGCACCAGTTAATGCTAACATACATATTCATGTATACAGGCGAAATGTTTTGTTAACCCTACCTATACTTGATGGCAAAAATAGTTAATGAACAGGAGACTACCTAATTTATCTTATCCATTGAGGCATGTAGGTATATATTAGGAAAAAGAAGGAGAATAACACTATTCTGTCCTTATCTTATCATGCGTATTGAAGAGATGCATCATATTTTCTCAGTCCCATGTACTACATAATAGCAGAAGAAGTTGTAGTATCCTGTCATGCTGATTAGCTCAAAGTGTTCTGAGTTTTCACATTAGCTCTCAGATTCTGAAAAAAGAATAGTACTGTCATTTAATTTAACTGAGTGAATCAGGACTAGCAGTGGAATCCATGATGAGCATTTCGTCCCATCTGAGGCTCGTCAACTGATAGTATCTGCACTTTTCAGTAAATCAATCTGTTTGCACTGAGACTCGGACACAGTACCCTTCGTTTTATCCACTACACCAATCGGACAGTTAGTGCGACCTTTTGTACAACAAGGATAAACTAGTCATTTTCAAAAATCAGTTTATTTTTCTGCCGTTAACTGATTGAAGAAGAAGGTTTGACTTCGCGTAATCTAAGTATTCACGTGAATAAAGTGATTACTGGGTTCGTACGTCCTGGAGTTTAGTGTAAGTCACCATCCACCAGAAAAAATCAGCGTTAATACCTAAACACAGTAGAAGCGTCCGTACTAGTGAAACGGTGGAAGATGAAGACTTGGTAAAGGAATGCATGTACGCCTTATCTTCAACGCACAATCTGAACTGATCTGTGTGTTGTAGTACTTCTGGACATCAAATTGTATTTCAAACATTTATTCCCCTTGATGAATTTGAGTAAAGCAAGAACAACAGTTTTTTGTGCAGAATAATATGGTACCATCATTTATTTCGTTGGCTTCTCATCAGTTGCCACTTACAGCTTAAATAAATTATGAGGTTTACGTACAGAAAAGTTTTAACATACTTGTAAATTATTTACATGTTGTCACTTGACAGAAAATTCCACAATAAGTGAACAGTGCTTCGAAAATTGCGCTTATATAGTTTTTACACAGGCAGTTCAAGTTTAAACAAAATAAATGTATGCATACAGATTTAAAGGAGTTACGTAATAAAGACGAGAGATGCGTTACATGCAGAGTAAACAATGTACTGAGTTCAACTCAAAACATAGAAACAAGAGACAACGAAAATTACAGATTATAAACAGAGGGTGAGGTTAAAGACAAAGATTACATCATCAGATGAAAGAGAGAATAGAGACATCCAGTGAACATGACAAGGAAAGATTAATAACTGCTTCTTTCAGAACACTTAAATCTGGTTTCAAGCGTTTGACAGAAATTTCTTCGGCAAACTTGAGGAGAATTGAGCTTCTCTGTCTACTGATAATCTCCACTTCATGACCCATATCAATTAGATGCCTGCTAATGGCACTATTGTAAACGTTTGTTCCCTTGAGACGTAGACTTTTCGGTACATGTTCAGAAAGTCGGAGGTGTACCCTTCTTTCTGTTCTTCCAATTTAACTGCTCCTGAAGATACATTTTAATTTGTATACAGAGTTGGAGTTAAGATGAAAAGGATATCAGTTGACTTTTGACAGCACCAAGGAGCAAGTTGTTCGATAGACGGTAAGCAACTCTGCTAGATGCAGGATAAGCTCTGGCTATTGACGTCCTCAATCTTCTGTTGACTACTGATGCAATATTTTCACCTTTGAAATCGAGTTGAATGAAGACAGGCTTTTGTCAACTGTGATTTGTTTGATGTTTGAGCCTTCCCATCTTCTATATTTGTTCATGAATCTTTAAGGATAACCGTTTTTTTCAGCACGTTTTTGAGAATCGTTAATTCTCCCTCTAATTTCACTGCAGAGCATATTCTCCTTGCTCAACAGTACAGAGTCTTGACTAGTGTTCGTTTATAGCTATCTGGACAAAAACTACTAAAATGTAAGTATTGTCCATGTGGAGAATACCATCTTTCAGGCATTGCATGGTTGCATATTATTCTGCACAAACCACTCTCGTTCTTGCTTCATTCAAATTATATTTCTTTGTGTTCCTTTCACGTCTCACATGTATCACCACAAAGCTGTATCATTTGCTTTAGCTCACATCAAATCTATCTCCCTACTATTCGACATTGTTATGCCAGTGAACGTTTCTCTTTATATACTATTGATAAATCTTGTCAGTAGCACTCGCTATATTAGGAGATGAAAAGTTAACAGTGGCCCTGAAAGTTACGGTTAAGTTAAGCAATGGGACAAACAAAATTGAGCGAAACAAAATATTATCACCTTATTTGTTCACAGAACTATATTTTTCAGAGACGGGACACTGACGACTATGAAGTGATTAGAAGAAAGTATTTCACAATTCATGTAAATCCTGAACATGATCAATCGTTTTAGTAGTTAATTATAGGTGACTGAATAGCAAATTACTTCTAGTACTTCAAAAGGTTATACAACTTTGTGATAATACTGGCGGTGAACTGATGGCATAAAGCTGTGGATGGAATATTTTTAATAAACATTTCTCTCAATTGACTTTGAAATGCTATTTATCTGTCCTTTTTTTGATAAATCAAATATTTACTTGTATATTTCTTATGTAATGCAAAACCTACTCCAAAGGGTGTCTATCAGTCATAGATATGGTACTGATAATCCTTATAATTATTGTCTGAGCTACAGGTCATGTTTCGTTGCTGATTGAATTTCAATGCGTTTGACTCTGCTCTGTGTTGGGTAGCTCAGTCGCCGAGTTTTCATTTCCCTTCTATTCAATGTTTTCAGTGAAGACTTCAATATGAAGTGAACTTATTGAAATGCTTTATGAAGTTCTTGATAACCTAAAGAAACTTTATACCATTAACTGATTCATATGATTGGTGGTCTACCATTGATATCAATGAGTAATGCTTAGCAGCCAGTCACATGGAAATGATCTAATATGCTGAATGACCATTTCGATCGTCTAAGCCTGAACTAATTAGTAGAGTATTCTGTTTGACTTCTGT